TGCGTTAACAGGAGCTAAAGTCATCAAATGGTGCAGTGCCAAAGAGCCACAAACCCTGTCATTAAATTAGTCAAAAGTAACTCACTGCAGCATCAGAACCTGAGCTCCTGGCTGGGAGAGCTGACCAGGCCTCACCCAGGCTGCAGGAGGACAAGCTCATGGTGGGGAGGATGTCTGTGTTTTGCTGCAACATGTGGTGCCTCTCCCTGTCAGCTTCATGCTTGTGAAACAAGGGATGCTGAAACATGCAGGGACCTCACCATATTCTGAGCTTTCTTAGCTGACAACGTATCTGTTCAGCTGTCAGGTACCTAACCCACTTACTCCTGTGTGTCAGCTCTCTTCCTGGGCTGAGGAGACACGTTTAAGGACACTCAGCACAGAGGACACGAAGACTGACACTCTGATGATGCTTTGTGTTTGCACGTCACCTTTCTCACCAGTCTTCCTCAAAGCTTCTCTGTACTCGGGTTGGTATCTTCAATAAACATTTATGTAAGGAAACTGTATCCCTTATAAACCTTCCTACTTCTGCCCCATTCCCCCAAACTAACCATCTGTGACACCAGCCCAGTAATGAACTGGTCAATATTTGATCAGTGCAGTTCAAAGATCCACAGCTTCAGCTTTGATAAAGTGAAGCTCTGCAAGTCAAGCCACATCTGTACTTCAGCAATATATAGCCACAAGAATAAGTAAAATATATAAATACAGCACATGGGGGCTACTGAGAGTACTGAGTTAGCAATTTTATAGTAAAGCTGAATCAAACTGTTATTTTTACTTAATTAAATGCTGCCTTAGTGTGAGATGTTTAAGGGAAAAGCCAATGTCAGAATCTTCAGACAGGAACCCATTCAGAAAGTTAAGTGTTATTCCTACCTACAACTACAACTGCAAGAAAATGTAGCATATTTATTTAAGTATAGTCGAAAGTTTAAGTGAACCTTCACCCTCCCAGGAGGCTTAAATGGATGCAAGATGCTACATCTTCAGAAACTGTGCCTCAGTCTAAAGGATTCATCGTGTTATCCAAAGGGGAAAACCGAGAGAATATTCCAGTATCTGCTATTGTTGTGCTTCCAAGCTGTTCCCTCCCACCCTCAGTGGTACAAGGAGGAGAAACACAAACTCACCGTGGGCTGAGGTGGTCCTTTGCCACTGCTGCGACCTCTGAAATGAAACACACACACGGGATCCCATCAGAACTGCCCAGACTGGTGTACTCCTTACCAAGGAAGAACCCACACCCAGCTTAATGCAGTCTGGAGAACAGGATGAGGAAAACCAGCACTCCCACAGAGCACAACTACAGGTCCCATCGTTTCCCCCCAAAGTGCTGACCCACAAGCAGGTGCTGCTGCCAGGCAAAGGGCTGTCTACAGTAAAATAAAGGAGAAGATGCAGCAAATACTAAGCCTGTGTCACTGTAAGTGTTCTCTCTTAGGCAGAATCCTGTAACTAAGGCAAATTCCAAGACCCAGTGGCACACAAATCAAACCCAGTTCAGGCCCCATCCCCACACAGCACAGGGCCCTGCTCTAAGCCCAGCACATTGTCACCGTGGCTGATTTCAGGCCACCCAAGAACTGCCCCAGGCCACAGCTGACCCCGACTGTGAGGTCCTACCTACAGACCCTGTTTCTAGCTCCTCTCACAGCCCAGCAAGCAAACCTAATTAAATCTGTCCATCCCCTCAAAAACACTAACTGCCAATGATGCTAATCTGTCAATGTGTAGCACTTGGACACTCCAAAAAGCTTTTAGATTAACCCCTATGCTGGGAATACCCTGCAGAGTGAGCTGGGGCACTCTGTGCCTTCCACCTCAGCTCTGAGTCCCAATCCCTGCAGCTCCAAGTCCCCAACAGCCACAGTTCTTCAGCTCCACTGTGTGTCTGGTTCCAAAGCTCCTTCCTTGTACCAAGAAGACCTAGTTTCAAATATTTCTCATAGTGATTCAGATTTATATTTTGAGGCAAAATTCAGTCTATTACTCAAACCCCCAATATTTCAAAAAGACCTTACTCGTGCACAACCATTTCATTAGAGAGACTCAAAAACCACGTCTACATTTCCAAACATCCAAAGAACGCTGAGATCTAAAGTCGACTGAATGTCACAGAATGATTTGGGTTGGAAAGGACCTTAAGGACCACCTAGGTCCAACCCTCTGCCATGGGCAGGGCCACCTCCCACCAGAGCAGCTCTGGAACACCTCCACTGAATGTCAACAGCATTCAATTGCTCTTGGAAACCCCATGCTGAGGCTGAGCACTACCTACACCTCAAAATAACATGCCCTTATGAACAGGGCTCATGAGGTAATCAAGAAACCAAAAGAACTTCTTTCAGTGAACACAAACAACCCTCTGATAAATCCTGCAGGAATAAGCAAGTCCATCAGAGAGCCATGAAAGGCCTTAAGGAGGAAAAAAGATGAAAAACCACTGAACTAACACCTGACTCGCTCAAGAAACAAGCTCCTGCAACAGAAATGTAGTCTCAGAGCATCACAGGCTCTGGTGACATTTGCTGATTGGCAGGAGCTGCACATTTCGCGTGTTAGATGGCGTTTACAGAGCACTGCAGAGTACTAATCTCACCCAAAAAAAAACCCCAAATCCTAACGCAAACAGCCTTTATTTGACCACCCATCAGCCTCAACTTTGCAGAGGCAGCTCCCCAACTGCAGGCCTGCTCTGGAGTCAGGTCACCCTCCCCAGTCACCAGCTGTGCCATTTGTTAAAGGGACTCTGACAGTGCAGAGGGAGTCAGCACTGGTGGACCTGCAACAGCATTTCCGTGTAACAGGCAGAGCAATGACCCTGCTCTTCCCTTCACCAGCTGTGAAACCCCTGAGCTGTAACAGAGGCACAGCCCAGTCCTGATCTGTCTTCCTATGACAACCACAAATGTCAACACCACGGTCTTGGCCAAAGTCAAACAATTCCATCAGTTCCCTCTGTTGTCTCAAGGATTTTGGAACATCCTTCTTCCTACATCAGCTACAGAAACGGTCAAGAGCGACAGAGTTCGGTGTCTCTGCAACCAAAACCATCCCCATTTTCAGTGACTATTCCTACTGGGTTGCTAGACGGGGCAGGAAGTTTGGAGCGTTCCCTTTAAGTATCAACCCAAGTGCTGAGGCTTAAGTCAACTCTAGATTTTCCATCTCTTACCACATTTCCAAAATTTCTGTTTTTATCCACATTTCTTTAAGAGACAAATTGATTCTGCACATCCACACTGGCAAGAGGTCCCAACTGCTGCATCAGACCAAGAGCTGAGCCACCTGCAGAAATTCTATATGCTATTCTGATCCAACAGATCTCTTTACAGACTTGACCTCTTGATCTCCAGCGAGAACTGTTGAACACAAACCCCTGGATAAAAGCAGAGACATTCCCTAAGATGAATTCCTGCCAGTGCAACAGCTCAGCAAACCTGTACCTTCTGCTAAAACCAAGGTCATCAGCTTGAGGTTCATATTCCAACAGGTGAGGACTCAAGTTCAAACTACCCTTTGGCATATCTTAGATGAATCACATGAAGAAAACCCTGTGACCTTTACCAAAGCAGGAAGTAGATGAGTTTTGCCAGAAGTTTAACATGATTTAGACCAGGAGAATAAGAAATGGAGGTGGAAGAATCTAGAAGGGTCACTAGCAATTTGGCACTGCTACATAAATCCACATTTTTGTTACATTAAGTATGCTAAAATGACCCAAAAAATACATTTTGCATTGCAGGAATGTAGTTAAAGGTAAACCTGAGCGGGGGCACAGCAAATCCGACTTGGAAACCCTTTGCTTTGGGGTAGCAAAGGCACCAACTCAGAAAATACTGCACCAGAGTAAGCACCAGGCAATTAAACTTGGCAGCCAACTGGTTCTGTCCAGCAGCTACACCTGAGGAGTCAAGAGTCTCCATCAAGGCTGAATCCTGACAGGAATGTAGTTAAAGGTAAACCTGAGCGGGGGCACAGCAAATCCGACTTGGAAACCCTTTGCTTTGGGGTAGCAAAGGCACCAACTCAGAAAATACTGCACCAGAGTAAGCACCAGGCAATTAAACTTGGCAGCCAACTGGTTCTGTCCAGCAGCTACACCTGAGGAGTCAAGAGTCTCCATCAAGGCTGAATCCTGAGCACCATAACCTGGCAGCCAACTGGTTCAGTCCAGCAGCTACACCTGAGGAGTCAGAGTCTCCATCAAGGCTGAATCCTGAACGCTGCACCATAAATATTTCTCCCCAGCAGCAACTTGCAGTTTTGCTGTTTTTAGGAGCATTTCCTACCCTATTCCTCAGCATCCCTCACCTCCCTGCCTAATGTTTACATGCCAAGGAGAGTGTTTGGACAAGCAAAACAAGGTCAGGCATTTATATTTTCCCAGTTAAGTGAAAACTAATGAAAGGGAAACAAAGTCTCTCCAGGATGTGAAAGAAAAGTCTCAGGTTTTCTCTCCAGCAGCATCTTCACTTGGAGACTAAGGAACAAATGCACTGAGTGTCTAGAGCAGAAGTGGAATTTAGGAGTGAATGGATGTTTCTGGAGCACTGGCTGACATTACTGCAGCTCTGGAAACAGATTTACAGGATACTCTAAAGAATTTTAGGGCAGTAAAGCTTTCTGGTGAGGCAGAAATCATGAGTACAGTTTTATTTCAGTGCAGTATTTGTCTAAGTCGAAGGAACTGAACAGTCAAGATTATGCAAGTCCTGCAGCTTTGTCTTCTGTAGTTTTTTCCCTCGATACTGGTATTAATAATGCCAATTCCTGTCTCCTTCCAAGACAACTTCCACAGCACCTGGATATGTAATAACCTGGGTCAACTCTGGCCCAGCACACACCTGTAACCCACTGATGGGTTTAGTCACTGAAGAACCTTCTTCACACACACTGCCATGAATCAGCTGTGAAATTAAAACTTCCTCCAACCCAGGGATATAATCTCATACCAAAGTGCATTCCCAGTGATAAGGAAAGGGACCTGCAGGTTAACCAGTCATTTCACTCAGCAGTTTAGCATAGCTGCACTAAAACCAACACAAAGATGTGAGAACACACTAGAAAAACTCTGAATGGCACATGTGGTCAGACCTCCAGAACAGTCACTTCCATTCTACCCCAGTGCCTCAGCACCCAGCACTCCCCATTCCTTCTGTCTGAACAGAATGGACACCTCTCCTGCCCTTCACCTAAGCCTTTAGGCTCACAAAAAACGATGTCAAGGAAAAAGGAGAATAAGAGGCAAGAAGTGTTAAGTCTCAGCAGCAAGATCTGCACCATGGGATCACTTCAGCTTTAGCTTTCAATGGGAAAAGCCATTTTTAAAGACAGGAACTCGGCCTGTTCTTAGAGGACTCCCAAATCCATACAGGCTAGAGAGTTACCAAAATGAAAAACAAAAATCCCTTCTGCCAGAATTATAACAGCAGGAGTAAGCACCCAAAACCTGAGTCTGGGTGTTTGGCCTTCAGACAGAAGAGCAGTGAGGAAAAACAGCACTAGAAAGGGATGCAGAGCTGGGAGAAAGGCTGGGATGGAGGCACCTTCCAAGCAGGGCACAGCTAACCCTCCTGTGCTTGCATAAGGGCAGCCCCGAGCTGCAGACAGCAAGGGGATGTTAGATAATATTGTGCCTTGCACAGGGAGGTTTGTGTCCCAGGTCTGCACCCTCCCAACTGCAGCTGAGTGTGCTGCTGGCATCTCCCCCCAGCCTGAGCTCCCATCTGCCACCCTGCAGCCTGAGCAAACACCACAAAACAGGTATTCATCCTGCTGCTTTGGGGGCTCTTTTCAGACCCTTAAGGAGATCCTCATTTCTCATTTTTCCTCTTATGTAAAAGAAATTAATTATGTAATGAAAAGTACTGGAATGTCTTGTTTGCTCACAGGGTTTTACCCTTTCTAATAGGAAATACTGATGCATCATGAACCCCCAGAGATCAACACAGTGAGCAGAGCTGACCCAAGCGTCAGGGGCAGAAGGACTGACCAGGTGCTCTTACAGTAATAAACTCACAGCAGAAAATTAGGCCCAGGACAGCTAATTATCAATGAGCTTTCTGCCCAAATACAGCCTTTAAGAGCACCTTATCCATGGAAAGTGACATTCTTCTGCATTTAGGCTAAGAAAGGGAATGGCAGTGCTGCAGGGAAAGGAGAGA